CCTTGAATTTGATGCGAGCGGCTACTGGTAGCCAGTGTAACCTGATGAGGAGAGGAGTAACGTGAGCTTTTTTTTGGCTCATTGAAGACCACTCTCGCTGCTGCATTCTGGATCAGTTGCAGAGGCTTGATAGTGCATGCAGGAAGGCCTGCCAAGGGAGCATTACAATAGTCCAGTCTGGAGAGAACAAGAGCTTGGACAAGGAGTTGTGCAGTCTGCTCTGTTAGGAAGGGTCTAATCTTCCTAATGTTGTATAAGGAAAACCTGCAGGACCGGGCCTTTGTATCAATATGGTCTTTGAAGCTCAACTGATCATCCATCACAACTCCAAGGTTCCTGGCTCTCCTGGAAGGAGTTATGGTTGATGAACCCAGCTGTATAGAGAGGTTGTGATGAAGTTCTGGGTTGGCTGAGACCTTGAGCAGTTCTGTCTTAGCAAGGTTGAGCTGAAGGTGATGGTCCTTCATTCAGTCAGAAATCAGACAGGCTGCAATGCGACCAGCTACCGTCGGATCCTAATTATGACATGTAGATGGAGAAGAGAAGTGGTCCAAGCACTGAGCCTTGAGGAACCCCAATAGCAAGAAGTTGTGCCTTAGAAACCTCACCCCTCCAAGACACCCTGAAGGACCTACCTGAGAGGTAAGACTTGATCCACTGGAGTGCGGTTCCTGAGATGCCCATCTTCATGAGGGTGGACAGGAGGATTTGCTGGTTAACTGTGTCAAAAGCAGCAGACAGGTCCAGCAAGATGAGTACTGAGGATTTGGAAGCTGCTCTTGCCAGTCTCAGGGCTTCAGTAACCGAGAGCAGGGCAGTCTCAGTTGAGTGGCCGCTTTTGAAGCCAGATTGTTTTACAGGAGGTTGTTCTGTGCAAGAAACATAGAGAGTTGGTTGAACACAACTCGCTCAAGTGTCTTTGCAATGAATGGAAGAAGGGATACCTTCTAGGGGTAGTTTTCTAAAAGTGCTGGATTTAGAGAGGGTTTTTAAAGCAGTGGGCTTACCCGAGCCTGCTTAAATGCTGTGGGAAATGTACCAGTGTGAAGAGAGGTGTTGATAATGTGAGTAAGCGAAGGTATTACTGAAGAAGAAATGGCCTGAAGGAGGTGAGTGGGGATAGGATCAAGTGGACAAGTAATAGGATGATTGGAAAAGATAAGTTTGGAAATGTCCGTCTCCGAGAGCGGAGAGAAGGAGGAGAGAGAGTGTGTATTAGTCGTTACACACTAATACACACTCACACACACACTAATACATACATCAGTGGTGACCGTTCAAAAATGGGGAAAAAACTTTTCCCCAAAGTTTGCATGGCTGAAACTCAATAAGTATTGAAAATATCTTAGTATCTTTAATACTTATTAATATCTAAAATGATTCTGTTTCTTAACAAACTTTTCTTTTGGTATCGTAATTTTTAAGGCCCTGTATGGTTCAGTTCCAGAGATACTGGGATCTCAATGCGGCTCCATGTGCAAATTGTTGATTCCAAACATATGATGAAAAGGATAAAATAAGGATAAATGCACAAAATGAGTGTCAGCTGGTCAGAGGGACGTTCTGCAGGAACACATTCAGCAACATGTTACTGTCATTTATTTTTCTGTAAATGTAGAGACTCATTATTATAATCTCATTACATTAAATGTTCTTAAAACATAAAATTCAAAGTTTTAGTATTATTGCGCTCCATCATGCACACGCATCGTTAAGTCTTTTAAGTTTAAGAACAAACGCATTGATTTCAGTTCATTATATCTACACAGTGTCAAATCCGTTGGAAATGAATGTAAATAGAGTCTGAAGCTTGTCCTGACAGCGGTGAGGACGAAGCTCAAATCATAAATGAATCTAGATCCAAAAACGTAACAATATCTTTATTTATACAGCAACATGACACAGCTAAATTTAAGAGGGAATTCCACTAAATGCTTATAAACATGAGTTTTTGGGCTTACACTACTGCTGCTTCACGGAGGTAAACAAACTCTTCTTCTGCGGCGCTTGATTGCTTTATTCCTCTAGCGGTGTGGCCGCAGAACGTCGCACAGATGCAGACACGAGACAGCGAGGCCCGTGCTGTGCATTTACAATCAGAATCCGAGTCAGAACGAGCTTTACTGCCAGCTGTGTTTACACATATGAGGAATTTGATTTGGTGACAGAAGCTTCCACAGCACAAACAGATTCACAAACTCTTCTTATGCCGGGCCGTTCTGGTGCTCAGTGCTCTATAGTTCAGAGAGATGTGCTGGATGTGAGGGGTCCAGAGTGATGTTACCAGCTCTTTTGCTCACTCTGGATGAGTACAGTTCTTGGAGAGTGGGGAGGGTTGTGCCAGTGATTCGCTCAGCAGTCCGGACTATCCTCTGTGTAGTCTTCTGAGGTCTGGTTAGGTGGCTGAGCTGAAGCAGACAGTTATAGAAGTGCAGAGGACAGATTCAATGATGAGAGCAGGGTTGCTGGAGGTGTGAATAGACCAATTTGGAGTAGACGTCACAGCTGCGCGCGCATTGTGGTGGCAGAAAAACACTGGGAACGAGTGGAGGAAAACGGGTAAAATCCATGGAATAAGAATAAAAAGGTATTGTTGTGCCTTTAGATGTCAGAATCGGAATGGAAATACTTTTTATAGAATACTGACGTCAAAGACGCCATTTGAAGCTAAACGCAGACGTTTAAACGGACAGACTATGGATGAAACCTGCAATGATTACCCTACTTTTAAAGCATAAATTTGATTTAAACAATAGGTCTTCATAATATTCACATATGCTGTTCATAGGTGACATATTTTATTAGCCATACATTTACAGTATGAAATAGCCTACTATTTAACCCAATAACATTTATCTATTTTATCTCACAATTCTGACTTTTTTTCAGTTTAGCTCAACAATTGCAAGTTTGTTCATTCTGAGGGAAAAAAGCCAGAAGTGTGGGATTATAATGATGATGAATGATTATAATGAATGATTCTTATCAGAATTGTGAGATATAATCTCAGAACTGTGAGAAAAAAGTCAGAATTTTGAAATATAAACTCAAAATTAGCTTTTTTTTCCTTTTATTCCATGGTTTCCGTAGACTGCTACTTTAAAATGGGCATGTTCTGCCACCAGATAGGCTCCGCCCACAAAAAACATAATCACTGTTTGCAAACACTGACATTGGTCTACAGATCCACGGAGAGAAGGTCATAACGGGTGTTATAGAATACTGACGTCAAAGACGCCATTTGAAGCTAAACGCAGACGTTTAAACGGACAGACTATGGATGAAACCTGCAATGATTACCCTACTTTTAAAGCATAAATTTGATTTAAACAATAGGTCTTCATAATATTCACATATGCTGTTCATAGGTGACATATTTTATTAGCCATACATTTACAGTATGAAATAGCCTACTATTTAACCCAATAACATTTATCTATTTTATCTCACAATTCTGACTTTTTTTCAGTTTAGCTCAACAATTGCAAGTTTGTTCATTCTGAGGGAAAAAAGCCAGAAGTGTGGGATTATAATGATGATGAATGATTATAATGAATGATTCTTATCAGAATTGTGAGATATAATCTCAGAACTGTGAGAAAAAAGTCAGAATTTTGAAATATAAACTCAAAATTAGCTTTTTTTCCCTTTTATTCCATGGTTTCCGTAGACTGCTACTTTAAAATGGGCATGTTCTGCCACCAGATAGGCTCCGCCCACAAAAACATAATCACTGTTTGCAAACACTGACATTGGTCTACAGATCCACGGAGAGAAGGTCATAACGGGTGTGGGGTGTGAGACAGAGTTTTTCAAACCTGCAATAAAACTCATTCAAATCTCTGGCCAGTTGTTGATTCTCCACAGTGCTGGGGGACAGTGTCTTGTAGCTTGTGACGTCTTTCAGTCCTTTCCACACTGATGCATGGTCATTGGCTGAAAACTGGTTTCTCAGCTCTTCAGAGCAGTTCCTCTTAGCTGCTCAGTTTGTTTTTGGCCTGTTTATATAAGATTCTGTCCCCATTCCTGTAGGCATCCTCGTTGGCCTGATGGAGCTGTCTGAGTTTTGCAGTGAACCATGGTTTTCGTTGTTGTAAGTTAAATGAGTCCTGGTAGAAATGCACATATCTTCACAGAAACTAATGTATGATGTTACAGAATCCGTGAGCTCGTCCAGATCAGTGGCAGCAGCTTCAAAAACACTCCAATCAGTGCAGTCGAAGCAAGCTTGTAGATCCCGCTCTGCTTCATTAGTCCATCTTTTTACAGTCCTTAATACAGGTTTAGCTGATTTCATTTTCTGCCTGTAGGTCGGTATAAGATGAACCAAACAGTGATCAGAGAGCCCCAAAGCTGCTCGTGGGGCGGAGCGATATGAATTCGTTATTGTGGTGTAACAGTGATCCAATATATTACTGTCTCTGGTGGGACATGTGATGTGCTGTCTGTATTTTGGCAGATCACAGGAAAGATTTGCTTCATTAAAGTCTCTGAGAATGGTTATAAGAGAGTCTGGGTGTTGTTGCTCTGTGTCTGTGATCTTATCAGCCAGCTGTTGTAGCGCCGTGCTCACGTGTGCTTGCAATGGAATGTAAACACTCACGAGAATGAACGAGGAAAACTCCTGCGGCGAGTAGAATGGCTCACAGTTGATGAAGAACGCTTCTAGATCGGGACAGCACATCTTCTTTAACGCTGTTACATCTGTTGACACCTTTCATTGATGTAAAAGCATGTCCCACCGCCACGTGATTTTCCTGTTGATTCTGCGTAGCGGTCCGCTCTGAACAGCTGGAAGCCTGGCAGATGTAACCCGCTGTCCGGAATGCCTTCATTCAGCAAGGTTTCCGTCGTTACACCGAATTCTGTGACCTTAGTAGGCGCTGTAGTGAGGGTAGGTTTAGGAGTAGGTCAGATTAGCTCAATACAGCGCCTACTATGGTCACAGAATTCGGAGAAACACTGCTGCTCCGCCAACTACAATGTCCAGCAAAACATCAGAATAGTCAAAAACCAGTGAAATATTGGGTGGTGTGTACTGCCGAATGTTCAGCAATTTGTCCCTGGTGAAACTGATTGTGGGAATATAAAGCTAAAAACAGGACAAACTAGAAAAAACATTTAAAAACTGTGGAGCTCCACACCGAGGTGGCCATCCGCAGCCCCATCTTGTTCATACATATTTAGCTGAAGTTGTCACTCTGATGTACTATTTGGGCGGGCGTTCGATATGGATATGTACCGTGTGTGGTGTATCGTGGTTTTTCGGTTTAGTTCAGTTGCCTCCGTTGCCTCTTTGAAGGGATTGCCCTTGGTTTCACTATATTAGTAAGGACATTTTTGAATAGTGAAAACATACTGGACCTCACAAGCATAGACAGACCTGTATACTTCAACCACTATAGAGCCTGAAACACACACACACACATACACACACACACACATACAGCAGCGTTGAGTCCCAGACCGGCTCTGGTGAGAATCACGGCAAGAGACACGTTCCTCAGAGCCGCAGACCAGTTCTGATCAATATACACAGCGTCTGTGACGTACGGCACATTACGCAACACCACACCGGCCAGCAGCATCCCTGAAACACACACACACAATATATGTAATTTCACAGATACTGGATGCATGAGCGTGCATTCAAACAAAAAAAATCATAAAACGCATTCAGAGAAAGGGTTAGTTGTCTTAAATAACTACCGCTACTTTCGCACACATTCAGGGTTGTTTACCCAGTAGAGCTGGTACTGGAGGGGTTCTGGGTAATCTGACGACGCTGATGAGTTTTCCTCCACACACGGCCGACAGGAACAGAATCACCAGGCCGAAGAGGTTCTGACCCGGCAGACACGAGGGTCCCGTCACGGCCCAGACCACCCCGAACACCAGCAGCCCCAACAGAGCTGAAACACACACACACACACACACACACACACACACACTCACTCAAAACCACCTTCATCTCCAGAGAGGTTTCATAGTTCACTCCTGATTCTGTAGAGAACGTTTGAACAGACTGATCGTCGTCTTATAAAATATCTACTGAATCACTGTCATTATATGGACTGTAGAGTTGGAGGAGAACCAGCTCTCTGATGTCGCCTGGTTTCTCGCAAAGCTTTTTTCTCTCCATTATCCAGCATCAAGTGTATTTCATTCCTTGCCACAGCACACTATTATTCTATGATTACTTGAAATAAACCCCTCAGTTAAGCTGCTTAATTAATGATATAATCATAATTTTAACCCTTCCATTTATACGCATCATTTAACTATGCCTGTAATGCACATCACTAAGGGCTAGTAACTAGGCACCAAATTCTTATAAACAAATTATACAACTACAATAAGTATGTCCAACTTTACTCGCATGCATAAAGTATACTCATGTCATGCAACATAAACTATATGCTATATATCTCAAATGCTTGATTATATTGTTGCAAAATGTAACTATATTATCGTCCAGCTCTAATCTGATAAATGCGACTATAAGTCATAAAGATATTAAGATAGTATAAACATTAACATCATGTATTTCTGTAAAGCTGCTTTGAAACACTTGTACTGTGAAAAGAGCTATACAAATAAGTAAAGTTTTTTTGAAGAGAACAAATAACAGCGACACACCTTTAGTAATGACGGAGGCAGAAAAGCCATGTGGTTTGTAGCGGAGCAGTTGACCACAGTAATCTGATGGTTTGGACGCTGTTTTCTGACCTGAGAGAAACAATAGGTTACTGTTTGTAACCCCGGTTCTCTGAAACATTGAGTGGAGAGATGAGAAGAGCATCCGTGCCTGAGCTCTGCAGAAGCATCTAATTGCATCCAGTCTGGCTTGACAGACAGGAGCGTGTGATCAATGGCAGGTAAACCGAGCACATAAAGCCCCTGCACACACTACCTTTCCTCAGAGAGCATATTCGCTTCTCGTGCAGCAAGCGGGGCAACGCTGGTGGATCTGTTGAAATGTACATTATCTAAGACAGTGGTTCTCACCCTTTTTTTCCACCGGGCCGCACTACGGTCCAAGTGCAAGTCTCACGGGCTGCACGCATATCATTACATTCATTGAAATAAATAAATAATTCTACTCCCCATAAATAACACCCAATTGTGTGAACTTCGGCTCAAAAGGAGTAACAGTGCAATCATAGGCGGAGTTCACTTTAATGTGTGGGGGGGGGACACCCACTGGCAGATGAGCCACGAGCGCTTTTTATATGTTCTACAATTCATGTATTTATGTAACACATATTCTACATTAAAAAAATACATTTAGAATGAACAATAACTGCTGTACAAAGAGTAAAAAAAGAAAAACATACTTAATGCAGAAAAGCTGCCTCTTTTTCCGAACTGTGCAGATGACTTCTATCTTTCATCTCTTCTGATACATTTTCAGTCAAATCGTTTTCTGTGTGCTAGATCAGAGCTAGAGCCCTGCATTTCAGCCCGGGCCCGACGGGCCCCGACTTTTTTACACCCCTCGGGCTGGGCATCGGGACAATTTTCACGTCATAGTTCAGACGCGGGCAGGGCCTTGGGCCTGTTTTAGGCTTCTCCTTATTTTTATATTTTAGACATCCATCAATTAGTGATGAAAAAGATTGCCGTGCTGGTGGAAACAGCACGAGACCGTGCTGCCGTGACTGTCAAGAGCGGCTGGACGGTGTTTAGTGTCCAGCAGCAGTATGTATGGAGCGTGCCGTCAGCGCAGCTGAACAGTTCTGCGTTCAAATGCACGCAATAGGCTTAAGCTTGCCGCAAAGCACCGGCAAAAGTAATTACCATAAATGTGTCAGGGGGAAACAGTAAAGAGATATTTGAGTTATTTACTAATAAACTAGTGTTTTCTGAGTCAGTGTTGCAAGGATGAAGTTGCCGATCCTGACTCGCCATCTCCTCAGCCTTTAGAGAAGTGCATCTTTATGGATTATGATCATAATGAAAGAGTTTTTGTTTTTGGTTTGTTTTATTTCGTTAAGTAGTAATTTAAAGCTTTCTATAGATATATTTATCAGTAAGGGGGTCTGAATACTTTTCGTACCCACTGTATTACTCTTACCTTTATGAGCAAAAATTACGACATATCCACTGAAAAACAATGCAAGTGATCGCGCTGGCGTCTCCGTGTCCTGCAAAGCGCGCTTCAGCTTCCACTCTCCGCACAAACTATTGGATACAGCACATGTTTATCTAGGTTTAACGTTTAAACATTGTTATATGTTTGAACTGTTTTATATCTACAGATTTTATTTTAGTCAAGTTGTGATGATTTGAGAAGGCTAAATTGATCAAGCATATGCTCACTGTCTGCCGCTGGCCGCTTGGTCGTTACTTTAAATGCGTAACGATAATTAGGCTGTGTGAGTTCTGCTCATGTCTGAAAATAATATATGAAAAACAAACTTATTTTACATAAACATTAGGCTATAGCTTATATTTATTTAGTAAATTTTTTAATTAATGTAAAAACTAAAATGAATTGTGTTCAGCACGGTGGGCCGCATTTGAATTCGTGACGGGCCGTGGGCTGAGAACCACTGGTCTAAGATAATGAAAAATGCTGTAGAAGAACTGTTTGTTGATAGATCACAACAACTAACATGCTTAACCAATGTTAACAAATCAAACCTTATTTTAAAGTGTTTCCAGTGTATCTGTTTTTTGTGTGTGTGTGTGTGTGTGTGTGTGTGTCTTGTTGTGTGTGTGTTGTGTTGGTTACTCACAGGTTTCTGTTTGTTCTGCTGTAAGTCTTTCCTCACCCATTTCTTCCGATGTCTGTAAGTGAACTTTGACACACACACACACACACACACACACACTGTTTAATCATTAAAGCATGTTGATTCCTTCAGTTATACTTCATAACATCATAATTCTCAATGTTATCTATCTTGTTGATAAACAAGATTTTGAATCTCTCTTAACGCTTTGTTTCAGAAGATAATGAAAAAAAGGAAAAAGAAAAAAAAAAGAAAAAACAAAAATGTTTTCATGAATGTAGTTTATCAAGTAAAAATAGAAAAAAACATAAAAACAGCACACAAAAAAAACAACAACACAAAGACAGCTGCACAGTACATATGAACTTATCACAATACAATAAAAAAATAAAAATCACACAAGAAATGCCAGAGCGTAAGACGATGGCTGATTTCCTAAGTGTTTAAAGCATGTATAGCTATAGGAATAAAAAAGGGTTCAGTTACTAATTATTAGGTAACTCAACTCTCTAAAGTGGGGTTCCTCAAACGCTGTCCTGCAGATTTCAGCTCAAATTCTGATCAAACACACCTAAACAAGCTAATCAAGCTCTCCAGAAGGACTGGACCATTACAGACAGGTGAGTTTGATCAGGGTTTGAGCTGAACTCTGCAGGACTAGATCTGAAGAAGCCTGATCTAAAGTTTACAAACCCTAACCCGATTCTTAACCCCAACAGAATCATTCATTCATCCGCACAAACTATTGGATACAGCACATGTTTATCTAGGTTTAACGTTTAAACATTGTTATATGTTTGAACTGTTTTATATCTACAGATTTTATTTTAGTCAAGTTGTGATGATTTGAGAAGGCTAAATTGATCAAGCATATGCTCACTGTCTGCCGCTGGCCGCTTGGTCGTTACTTTAAATGCGTAACGATAATTAGGCTGTGTGAGTTCTGCTCATGTCTGAAAATAATATATGAAAAACTAAATTATTTTACATAAAAACATTAGGCTATAGCTTATATTTATTTAGTAAATTTTTTAATTAATGTAAAAACTAAAATGAATTGTGTTCAGCACGGTGGGCCGCATTTGAATTCGTGACGGGCCGTGGGCTGAGAACCACTGGTCTAAGATAATGAAAAATGCTGTAGAAGAACTGTTTGTTGATAGATCACAACAACTAACATGCTTAACCAATGTTAACAAATCAAACCTTATTTTAAAGTGTTTCCAGTGTATCTGTTTTTTGTGTGTGTGTGTGTGTGTGTGTGTGTGTCTTGTTGTGTGTGTGTTGTGTTGGTTACTCACAGGTTTCTGTTTGTTCTGCTGTAAGTCTTTCCTCACCCATTTCTTCCGATGTCTGTAAGTGAACTTTGACACACACACACACACACACACACACACTGTTTAATCATTAAAGCATGTTGATTCCTTCAGTTATACTTCATAACATCATAATTCTCAATGTTATCTATCTTGTTGATAAACAAGATTTTGAATCTCTCTTAACGCTTTGTTTCAGAAGATAATGAAAAAAAGGAAAAAGAAAAAAAAAAGAAAAAACAAAAATGTTTTCATGAATGTAGTTTATCAAGTAAAAATAGAAAAAAACATAAAAACAGCACACAAAAAAAACAACAACACAAAGACAGCTGCACAGTACATATGAACTTACACTGTTTAATCATTAAAGCATGTTGATTCCTTCAGTTATACTTCATAACATCATAATTCTCAATGTTATCTATCTTGTTGATAAACAAGATTTTGAATCTCTCTTAACGCTTTGTTTCAGAAGATAATGAAAAAAAGGAAAAAGAAAAAAAAACAAAAAAACAAAAATGTTTTCATGAATGTAGTTTAAGTAAAAATAGAAAAAAACATAAAAACAGCACACAAAAAAAACAACAACACAAAGACAGCTGCACAGTACATATGAACTTATCACAATACAATAAAAAAATAAAAATCACACAAGAAATGCCAGAGCGTAAGACGATGGCTGATTTCCTAAGTGTTTAAAGCATGTATAGCTATAGGAATAAAAAAGGGTTCAGTTACTAATTATTAGGTAACTCAACTCTCTAAAGTGGGGTTCCTCAAACGCTGTCCTGCAGATTTCAGCTCAAATTCTGATCAAACACACCTAAACAAGCTAATCAAGCTCTCCAGAAGGACTGGACCATTACAGACAGGTGAGTTTGATCAGGGTTTGAGCTGAACTCTGCAGGACTAGATCTGAAGAAGCCTGATCTAAAGTTTACAAACCCTAACCCGATTCTTAACCCCAACAGAATCATTCATTCATTCATTCATTCATTCATCTGGTAAATCTGCAGCTGTTTCTCAGGATCACAAACTCACTGGTGACTTCATTCACTTCACTGGAAAACTGTACTAACTAGTACTGCTAACATGAACTAAACACCTGCTGCGGACTGTTCAGAGCCCAGCTAACAAAAACATGTTCTAAGAATACAAAACACAAGTTATGAAAACATCATCTCTGAACGGACTCTGAACATTCTGAAACTAGAACTGTTCAAAAACCATCCGATGAATGTCAGTTACAAGGCTTCAGAAAAATGAATGACGTATAAATAATATTTTTGTGCTAACGTTTGAAAACATTATTAAAGACCAAATAACTTTGAACATTCCTTTATTAATGCTACTGTAAGAATGTTTGTTCAAAACTTTGAGAGAACCAGATTAAAGGTTAATGGTACGGTTAACTTTAGGCTCTTAAACTGATACACTGACAGTAACTAAACATCATAACTTTAAATAACAATATAGTGACCTTTAACACTTCGTGTCATAGCAATGCACTTAACCTTACCCGAACACACACAAAATGAGTTGTTGGGTGGTTTTGTCAGGCTTCTGGAGGCAAATCTGTCCTCAAAATATGATAAAAAGGAACACATCAACAATAACAGCAATTTACTGCTCAGATGGACAACACAAATAAAACAAAAAGAAAATGAATGAGCCTCACCTGCTGAAAGCTCTGAGAGAAGCAGCGACTGATTCACACACACACACACACACACACACACACACACACACACACACACACACACACACACACAGAACTCACACACACACACACACACACACACACACACACACACACACACACACACACAGACATGAGTCTCTCACACACACACACCGACACCAGTCACTCACACACACACACACACACACACACACACACACACACACACGAGTCTCACAGCACATGATGTGTGTGAATCAGTGTGTGTTCATCACATGAGCTCTGCTCATCACAGCAGCATCTGATGAACCTTCAGTCACTGAGCTGAAGATGTGTGTGCAACGTCACACATCACTCACACTATTTGTTTTATAGTACTGATGTTTACATCTGTTTATTCCTGTTTATAGTCCAGCTGTCTGTGCCACGAGTGTGATGAATGACATGTGCGGAGCCGCCGGTGCCCATGTGTGTGTGAACATCACCAGACCTGCAAACCACTTCCATTTATAGTCACCGGCCTGCCAGGGTGTGTGTGAGAGTGTGTGAGACAGTGTGTGTGTGTGTGTGTGTAATGACATTCTGTCTTAGTGTCTTTTCACCATCATGAATATCTCTCGTTCACACACACACACACACACACACACACATACACACACACACTCACTTGAATCAGATTGAAGCAGAATAGTAATAAATAACGACAAGAGTTTGATTCATGTTGCAAATGCTTAGAAATGTTCTGTTACCGTGTTGACTGCAATGACTCATGTCACACACACACACACACACACACAGTTATTGTCGTCTGTGCAGCATCTGGTGTGTTAGCAAAGCGTGTGTCATCTGGAAAATCACCACAAGATTAATCTGCTGCATTTTAGTTTGACTTTCCTGATCAGAGACAAACGACACACACATGAAAGAATCAGTGAAGCAGTGAAAATCAAATGACATTCTGTCTTAGTGTCTTTTCACCATCATGAATATCTCTCGTTCACACACACACACACACACACACACACACACACTCACTTGAATCAGATTGAAGCAGAATAGTAATAAATAACGACAAGAGTTTGATTCATGTTGCAAATGCTTAGAAATGTTCTGTTACCGTGTTGACTGCAATGACTCATGTCACACACACACACACACACACTGTTATTGTCGTCTGTGCAGCATCTGGTGTGTTAGCAAAGCGTGTGTCATCTGGAAAATCACCACAAGATTAATCTGCTGCATTTTAGTTTGACTTTCCTGATCAGAGACAAACGACACACACATGAAAGAATCAGTGAAGCAGTGAAAATCAGTTCTCCTGCAAATCTACCAACAGAAACATTGTTTTTATATTTACCTTTTGGATAGCTAGTGAATACAGATCTGCACGCACACACACACACACACACAGTAATAGAGTTACAAACACTACTGTTATTAACAACAGAGCCAGTGACACATGGGTGAAGCACAACACTTTATTCTTATCATTATACTGCTGGTTATGGATATACGGCGGATGACACAAACCTACAAAAACAACATGCAACAGGACTCAGGGGTGTATGATTGGTGGTTCAGACAATATGCATGACATCTTACTATGTGAGCCCGACCAATTAAACGAACTGAGTCCCAATTCAGAGGCTGCATCCTTCAAAGGCCGCGAAAGTCAAACCCAGTGCAGTTAAACTAATAGGATTGCTCTTGTCAGACTCAGCTAGCAACAGCGACAGCTGCCACTGAGAAGCAACTGGACTGAAAACAAAACAGGGTTCACTACTTGTTTAATTATGCTCACCTTTGTCCACTTATCTGCATAATAAAGTATAAATAATCAATAAAATTGCATCTTAGTAAGACATTACAGCAACATTTTTTTTCTAACTTTAGATATTTGATTAAGTTGAAACCCAATACTTGCACTTAAAGGTGCTGTATGTAACTTTTTTGACTGTACTAAAGCATAAAAATATCATAAAATGTAAGGAAACGTGCTAAGTTCACATACTTGTTTCTCTGAAAAACAATGCTACAGGCAGGTATTCTACTTTGAAATGAGCCAGTTATTCTACTGTGTGACTCCGCCCACTGCCTAATAGTACCCAATAGTATTTCAATAGCCCAGGTTGCCAGTTGGTGGAAAACAGAGCGTATTGCAGCCACAGAAGTGAGCAAATGAACTGGGTCAGAGATTGTAGATTCTACCCAAACTAAAAAGCCTCGGCATCCATCTAAAAAGCTCTATGAGCAGAGGAATATTAAAACGCGATAAATCAACTCATCAAATTACAGGGTAAGGCTCGTCGCCTTCCTTTTCGCTCGTTCCTGTTACGTATCCTCAATCTGAAAACCTGTATGAGCGGCGAGTCTCAGGAGAAGGGGGCATTTTAACTGCTAGCTGCAATATTACATAGTACACCTTTAAAAGCCTAAAAAATGGCCGCACAATGAATCTTGGGATAGTCTGTGCTGTGAAGGACCCATCTGATATATCCTTCATGGTCCAGAAACACCACATCTGATGCATTCAGTCTTAAAATGCAGCCTCTGAATTGGCACACAGCTACAGAATGAGAGGACGTGTGCAGCTGTGTGCTCAATATTAGCGAAGAACTCGAAATGTGATCACCTGTCATCTGAATTACGGTGTCTGAAAATACAACGTACATGCAGTTACTTCACTGGATTCTGAATCTGTAGCAGCGTTACAGCCCGTTACAACTCAACCCTAATCCTAACCTTGTTAACTCTACTCTAACACTTTACTTTGATGGTCACTCTGTTGACTATATGTAACTTTGAAAGTACATGTCCACTTATTCTACTAACCCTAACTTAACAGTCTACTAATACTCTAATGAGAGTTAGTTGACATGTAGTTGTCGAAGTTAATTATAGTTGTCTAAAGGGGACTATCAAATAAAGTTGAACTGTCCTAACATCAGCAGGCAGAGCGGTGTGTGTCCTCCAAGTGTTCAGTTTCATATGTGTGGCGGGTTATTTTATATATGAGCTGAAGTACACATAATAGCTGGTGAAGGTGAAGCTGTCCTGAAGTTTCTGCGCCGCTGTCGGCTCTCAGCCCAGTGTTCTGTGGCGGCTCTCAGCTGAGCTCCTGATCGCCGGTGCTCACGGGGTTGCCGTGGAGACCCCCGTTGAGCAAGGGCCGTGCGGAGGGCCGTGATTGGCCCATGAGGCTGCTGCGGCGGCTTGTGCTGGAGTTCTTGCGTCTGCTGGGGTTAGCGTGAGCGTCGGGGCAGGACTCCACACGCGTGACCGTGAACAGGCTGCTCTGGCGGTTCTGCTGGAAACGGGTGCTCTGGAGCTCCAGCTCGTCACTGTCCGACATGTGAATGAAGGGACACCAGCGAAACACCCGCTTGAAGCCTGCGCGGAACCTGCGGCAGAAACGCGAGCGAGATAAAACAGCTGGGGAACAGCACTTGACATTACATTTACCTCATGAAGGCCATTTAGTGTTAAAGGGTTAGTTCATCCAAAAATTAAAATTAGCCCATAAATTACTCGCCCTCAAGTCATGGTGTATATGACTTTCTTCTTTCAGACGAATCCAGTCGGAGTTATATAAAAAATGTTGTGTTTAATGCTGTTTAATGCCACTCAGCGGGTGTTGCATGCATCAGTCCAAAAGAAGTTAAATAAAAAGCGCCCATCCTTAAAAAAAGTGTCTCACACGGCTCCGGGGGGTGAACAAAGGCCTCCTGCAGCGAATCTATGCATTTTTGTAAGAAAAATATCTATATTCAAAACGTAATAATCACATTAATGTAGCTTGCGCTCACAGTTGTACACAGAAGCAGCTCCGGGCGGATGACGTATGAGTTCAGCGCTGCACATGCGCCGGTGAGTCTC